TAATTGGAATCACCTTTTCTTTTTTTTTTCTTTATAACTCGGAAGGTAATGTTACTTTATATGTATAATTGTTTGGAGATAATAAACCATTGTGAAATAATTTGCAGTGTTTTTTTTTTATTCATGGAATATTTTTGGGTTAATTCTTTGCATCGATAAGCCTCTTCAATTTTTCATAAACACGTTTCTTTTTCGGTTAAATTACCGTGGTTGAGAAAAACTATCTTCGATTATTTTTCACCTTATCAGCAATGTATGAAATCTATTAGTCCGTGGTATAGACCCCTTTTTATCGAATTATTAACATCCACCTGAAACTTCGTAAATAGTTTCATCTCATTTTAACCTACAACTATTTTATTTACGAAAACTCTTGAATTAGGTAGTTTTCAAGTTGGAGGGGGGGGGATGGAAACTTTGTCGATTTAATTATTTACTATACTCACTCACTAATTACTAATTACTAACTCATAAATACCCATTTGCTTTTTACCTAGATAGTAAGATAATTTGATCACAAAATCGATAAAAAAGATGGCATACAAAAATATTGGGCCGTTTCTCCTATATAACGTCGTTATTTTGAAAAAATGGAGTTGCAGGTCACGCCTAACGGCTCAAAAGTCTGTTTTAAAGGTTTTGAAGGCCTCTGTTTTTCTCGATTTTGTGATCAAATTATCTTAAGATTTACGAGTCTTTAGTACGTAATAGACAAAGTTTGTTCCCCTGCAGATTGAAAACGCCTCAATCCAAGCGTTTTCGTAAATAAAAGAGTTGTAGGTAACGATGAGATGAAACTATTTACGAAGTTTCAGGCGGGTGTTAATAATTCCCTAAAAAGGGGTCTGCACCTATTTTTTTATTTTTTTATTTTGTATGTTTATTTACTCTACTTACTCTAACATAATTATTTTTTTTTAAATCTTTTGAAGAAACCAGTCCCAACAATATGCTCAACCATATTATGCATATCCACAATAGTGGTTGTGCATAGGCCACGCAGCTGGTTATAAGGGAGCCCTGTTTTTGTTTTGGCCCAACGGATGAGGAAGCGGGCGGCTATCCCATCCACCTGAGTGGGCCTGGTTATCCGCAGAGCCGCAGATTAAATGGCGTTCCTCGGGGTACAAACAATTTCCTTCCATCTCCGAAGCAGGCCATTTTCTCAGGATTACCTTCATATACGTATTGGCGAAACACGGTGGCAATTTTTTCAACAACCCTATATTATAACCCGGGACAGGCAAATACAGGAGTAAATATGAAAAACCTTCCACGAAATGGGTAAGTTTTTGTCACAAATCAAAAGCTCAACAAGGCACGAATCTGCAAGGGAAAAATAACCGTACAAGGTCTTTGTAAGTATTTTTAATTAATCGAAATTTGCTATTGTATTAAATAAATACAACAATTAAATGTAAACGAATGAATAAAAAATAATGATATGATGGTTGCAATAGTTGCATTGCCGAAATAATTCTAAGGGTGAAGATCCCGAGACCACATTCTTTTTTGACGCCACATCAGGAATCGAGGATGGAAAAGGAACTTTTTGAAACAAGTGGATTCGGATGAGACTGGAGTTTATGATTATAGCCCTGGAGCCAGGGCCCAAAAATTGACCTGAAGGCTTCCACTTAGGGAACTCATTTCCAAGTTACAGGGCCATTTATAGTCATTTATCTCAGTTTTTGACAAATTTGGTAAAGTTCAGCGTTGGTTGACCGTGGTTTTAAACCTTACCGCGTTACCACATTATAAAGTTTATGTAATCGTTTGACGCAAAATTTAACGTCCTTTAATTTGTTAAAGAATACATTTTTCGTTTTGATGCATTGTTTAGGAGTTATAGAGGAAAAATCCAAAAATCATCGAAAAAATCTGACTTTTTTGGCTGTAAAAAGTTTTCCCTTGGCGGCCCGAGTTAGCAATTTTGTTTTTTACATGTCTAAACTCTTATATGCAAGTTAAAAAATAAAAGCTTTTATCACATTTTTCGCAATGGATTTCCTGTTTCGATCCTCAAATTACTGGCCTATTATTCATTAAATCAGCCGCCATTTCTGGAACGGCACACAAGATTTTTTTTACTCAGAATAACATACACTTTCGTAATTTACAATCAAACCTTCGCCTGCGATCAGGTCGATTTTTGGGCCCTGGCTCCAGGGCAATTAGTGTACAGCTTTTGGATCGGTTCAAATTAGTGTCCTACAAGCTTTAGCTGTAAGGTAGCCTATTTTAACTAGGCAGGATAGTATGATTAAGTAAATTAAACAATACCGGAATACGATGAATATTTTTTTTTTTTTTAGTGTTTGGGGGAAATAAGATGAATTTTATTCTTTTCCCAACTTTCAATTTTATCTTCTAACCTAGAGCTCATGGGGATTTGATCGATCTCCGCCTTCATTAATTTGAATGCCCATTTCAATCTGAGAGACGCAACCAATTTTATTAAGTGAATTGAATATGTATCAGCCCCGAATCGCACAGTTAATCCTATTAAAATTTACTTCTGCCTTCATGCCTTAAGCTATAAAATATTTATAAAATTGGTTAATAATACTTGTTATGTTGAAATATCATAAAATGTATATCATAAATTTCAATTTTGTCGACATTTTCATAAGTATGTTTCTCTTTCATAAGTATCCATACCCTGTATCTGATTCATTTCAGCACCGAACTTTTCCAAAATTATCAGTTGAAAGAGCAATTGCCTCTCACTTCCGAACGTAAATTTCTCTCTCACCAAATTTCCCTCAATATTTCTCATTTAGGTACAGAATATGTTATTAATATACTTCCTCTTTTATATTTGTATTTTGAAATCTTGATCCTCACCTATGACATATTAAATCCCAACTCTATATTCCATAAAGTTCTACTTTTCATAAATATCTAATTTGTTTTAATAACTGATTTTATTAATCTAAAAGAATAAAAATTGTATTAGATAATAAATTAGAATTGTATAGATGTATTTTATAATAAAGAACTTGTTACCAACAATATGTTCAATAATCAGGCGGTAGTTACGGTTTAGTGTAAATATTTCCTTGGACCTTACCTATTCCAAACGACCAACAGCCGGCAGGCCCCCCCTCTTTTTTTTTTTTTTTTTTTTGGGGGGTCCTTCCGTTAAGGCTATTCGGGGTTTTCCCGGGCCAGAGAGTGTGGGCGGGGCCACCCTTCCTACATCTAGTGTCTCCTACAGTTCAAACCCGTAGTTCACTTCCAGAAAACAAGATCTCGTGTTTCTGATCTTTATAGTCCTTCCCATAGAACTAAGACATTTGAATATTCCTTTATTGCCCGATCACTGCCTTCTGGAATTCCTTGGCATCTGATATCCGCCTTGCCTCTTCCTTGTCCTCATTCAAACATCATCTCTACCAATTACTTCCCACATCCCAAAATGCCGCTGTACAATAAAATAAATTTTATGAGCCAAATTTTGATTGCGCTGATTTGTTGCTGAAATCGTTTGAGTTTTAATATTAAGAATCAACTCATAGTGTTTATAACATTTTGTTTTTTATTTCCCGTGATATATGTTTTTCTTTTCATTTCAACAATGTTGTTTTTTTTTAAATGGTTACTTTTTGTTTTGTATATATTTCCACTGAAGATATTGTATACATTCTTTAATTTTGATTAATGTAGTTTTGTCCATATATGTTGTTTTTTTAGTTCATAATTGTTATTTTAAGGAACTTTGTTGGATAAAGTTTATTATTTATTTCTAAAAACCACCTAATTAATGAACAGACGGTCATATTTTTTATTAAAATTTGATTATTACAAGCATAAATAATAACAAATAATTTAAGTTCTAACGTTTGATAACTGAGCTTAATAATCTAAAATAATTATGATGGTGCTTGATAATGAAATACATTGAAAAGAACAATTTAAATAAAATAGAACAAACCTGAAAGAATTAATTAAATTACAGAACATTCCCATCTAATTCACTTTTTCTTAATTTCACTGAGTTTCTCCGAACTCATACCCCATTTTTTATTTAACCTATCTTTAAGAAATGAGGCAAGTTGACGTGTCACTTTTGATATGCTCAATTACTGTCAATTGTGGCCAAGTTGAGTTGGCAGCAACATCGGCTCTTTCAATACTCCCGATATCACAGTCTGACAGTACCTATACCGTGAATATATATTTTTTTTTTTTACATAGTGTACCGTACAAATTATGTATTTCATTTATTGCTGGATGCTGGGTGGATCCGTAATTTTTCTATTGGTAGTATAATACTCATAGTCAGTTTAAATCAAAGCTTTAAACTTTTTCAAAAGTAATATAATGTAAGCTAATATCTCACTTCTTCCAACACTTCATTCCATTAACATGACCACGGTGAATTATTCAAAACTGACTATGAAGTCTTCCTCAAGAACCTGTTTTATTACACGATGCAGATTGAGTCCTTTATTGTCATTGAATAATAACATTACATATATTTTTCCAAAACTTTGAAGTTTATTTACTTTTTTCTGCTTGTGGTATTTATTATTCATGCATGAAACATATTTATATGCATAACGTGTTTTATTGTATCATTTGCTATTTAATATTTACATGTTTATATATTATATATTGTATACTTTGCCTGTATTTATCTTTATTACCAGTGCTATTTATTACTATTTGTCATTTCATTGCTCGCTATATTCAGATGTATTATTTTGAATCATTGTATTATATGGGGTATTATATTATATTTCATTGTTTATATTTAGGGATACAGTCAGATGCTTGGTTGTTATCAGGAGAGGATATCACTGAATCTCAATGAATTTTACTTTGTAAATAAGTTTTAAATGTTTTTCATTTTAATTTATTCATTATTATCATTATAGCCAACTATATTTGTATGGGGAATTCCCCAAATACAAATAAATAAAAAAACTAATATCTTTCTTAAGAAGATTTAATTTATCAATGAATACAGCTTATTAAATATGACTTGGACTTACCTCTGGGAGTGAGAGAGACCTCACTCATGGCCCAGGGGCCCTGCCTGGAGAGGATTTCGTGGACGATGATGGCGAAGGAGTATACGTCACCCTTCTGCGTGCCCTCCGAAGGAGGGCTTTGCATCCTCAGCAGCTCTGGGGCCGTCCACAGGAGCCCTGAAATACGAAAGAGTTACATTAAGACATTTTTATCATCCTTCATTCCAATTTTATGGTTGTACAATGTTCCCATGTATTACATTCGGCATCTGGATGAATCGCCTGACGTTCTATAACCAAGCTAAAGTTCTATAACCATCCTACCCCAATATTCTTCGAAAATACAAAGGCAAAGTCAAAAATGTTCGGTACACCGTAAAAAAATTAAGAAATGGAGTAACTTTTCATTTCCAAGGCTCTAGCTCAAGAATTCATCGTGAGAGATAGCAAAGAGTATTTCTAAAAATTATCAACTTTTTCGACTTTATATCGATTTTGACTACTATGAAAAATGTAATATGAGCCTATCAAAGCATTATTTTCTTGAAAATTGGTTACTGTATTGTATAATATTCATCTTCGACACTGATAATGGTGATGAAAACTGTAAAAAAAAAAATCAATTATATTATAGAAAAAGGAATTTTAATATGGAAAAAATGATTATTTTCATGAAAAAAAAAATAGAAAATGTTTGGAGGCACTGAATTATTTTTTTGTAAGAATATCTCTCCCACATTTACTGACATTTTACTTTGTTGATTTCGGAACTAAAATAAATAATTATTAATTAGCTATAATTTAAAAATAATAATTACATCCGACGAAACACTCAGCCTTTATTATAACCTGATAAACGCAATAAAAAAAAGTGACAGCACAAATATAGCTGAAATTATAAAGAGAACAACAATGTCCGGAAGAACAAATAGAAGTTAGAAGTTTCTGAACGGACTTAATTATCAAACTCCGAGATGAACTCACAACAAATGCTTGAGAACAGCGGCAAAAGGTTTCCAAAGAAACTTGACTCCTCCGAAAAGGCGAGAATCCAAAGGAATATGAACTTAACATTTAGTGATCTTTTTTTTTTTTTTCAATTAGTTAATGGAAAACGAAATTTAAAAGGAGACATTTTTAATTAGAACTTCTCATCTGTTTCCTCTTTTTTTGTCTTCAAAATATTGCAGAAAATATAGTAATTATCATCCTTCACTTTTACTTGCAGGTATTATTTATGAAATATCAAAATCGAAATTATTATTTTAATTTATGTATTAAGTGTTGTTGTATTAATTTATACATAAAGTGTATTTGTGTATCAAAATATATATTGTTATATACTTACGCTTCCAATAGGAGTAGGAGTCGACGTCATCCACAAAAGAGGAGTACTGCCTCAACGTGCGGAGCCCGAAGTCCGCGATTTTGAGGACGAACCTCGAGTCGACGACGCAGTTGGAGGACTTGAGGCTTCCATGCGACCTTATGTCCGAATGGTGCAGGAACGCCATGCCCTACACGTTAGTGAAGGAATATATTAAAATATATACTGTATATATTTATTCAGGAATCAACAAATGCATAAGACACACTAAGAATATAGCATTGCGTTTTAAAAAAAATAAAAATTTATAAAATAAATAAATATAAGATGATAACTGGCCTTATATTTCAGAATGAAAGAAATCAAGACACAATAAATTGGAAATGCGGTTAGAAATAAAATTACTTTTTTTTCCAATGATGAAAAATACTAATGCTAAAATAAATGATGCTATAAAAGAAAAAGGTGGAACGTACAATTGATATAACGGTAATATAAACATAACAGTAATACAAAGATTATATCATGTTATATACTATAGTATATATAATATAGTATTAAAATGCTTTTGTATTATAAATAAATGAAAAAAAAGTATTTAAAAATAAATTAACAAATAATTAATATAAAAAAACAATTAAATTAATAACTGGTATCCAAAAACAGCGAACAGAAATAGAAATTGCATATCTGTTTACTTTTATTTGTATATGTTGTTTTTACATATCTATTATTTATTGGTTATATATTTTATTTGTTCTAATTAACTGTTTTATTTTTATTTTTTTTTTTACTATATACTTATCTTTTTTATTTATCTATAGCAAAAAACATTTTTTTAGTATATTGTAATGTTGTTATTGCTGTTATGTTTATACTACCGCTGTCTCATTAGTGCATTAAATCTTTTTCTTCTCTTTTTACATAATTTCATATTTTTTATTACGCAGGCTAGACATTTATTATTTTTACATTGATACACTTGCCTAATGTTCAGAATAAATTATTTGAATCATTTATTCTGACCATTAGACAAATGTATCACTGAAAAAGAACAAAGGTCAAATCTGCATAATGAAAACGTTTGTACACTATACGCCAAAAATATTAGTGAAGTAAATGATGACGAACTAATTTGATTAATTTATTCTGACCGTTAGGCAAAAAGTATCACTCTCATTTTATATTTATCATTTATCTTATACATTTTTGTGTATTTTAATTTTTAAAACGTAAATGTTTGGTCCGAAACATTGACAAACTCAATAAATATAATTTTGTAATTGCACATTAGGTCCATTTTTTCACGCCTGCAATTCCTTTAGCCATCTATATATTCATCTCAAATTATTTTCATTTTGTTTTTCAGATTTTTGCTCTGATGTTTTTCATACATGAGGAAGTCAAAATGCTTACATCTGTGACATGGTGGTTGAATAAGAACGAGTATCTCTATTACTAGATTTAATTTTTTTATTTCATAATCGGGTAAACAATACCCTATTATTTAAAACAGTTTTCTTTCTATGACTGTTTTAATTAAAGCATAATACTGGTGAAGATTTAATTTATGAAACCACTTATTATAATAACCATTAAACTGGAATGATTTTTTTTTCCTTATAGAAAATTAAACAGAAAAAATAAATAAATAAATATAGTTATAAAAGATAAGTTAAAAAGTTTGAAGCAGGATAATAATTCCTTGCTCCTCGCTAACAAATTTATATTGACTAAAATACCGTTTATAGTTGACTACTTTTTTTTTTGTGTATGATCCTTCAAACTTATTTGTAAGCCTAGAATTGCTTTTTAATTAAATTGTCATGTACGATATACTCAATTCAACGATTCCATACGATAAGAATTTATTTTTTTAAGTACTTTTAATTTGCAATGACTTAAATAGGTTCCATGTAGAAATTAGTAAACGCCACTACTTCATGACAGATTATGTCTGTAATATAACCGAATTGATAAAAATAACATTCAAACCATATTAATTTAAAGAATAAAAATGTTAATAATTTATCTTTAGTAATATTTTAATTCAATTTTGTATTATTTCTATTGTTTTTTTTTTTTTTATCATTTATAGTTTATATAAGAATTATTCGAAATTTAAAAAGAAGGGATGATAGAATACTGCACTTGAATGCTAGTTATTAAAAACTAATTTTCTTCCTCTATTTAAAAAGAAAACAGACATAGCTTGCTATGCTCTCCAGCTGTAACCTTGTTTGATTCTTAATACTGCTTCATGTTTCTTTGGCAAACTCCCAATTAAACCTCTAATTACATCATGGGTCCTTTCGTCCCATTTTGTGATATTGTAAGAGAACATCCATGTTAAAGTCAACGACAAGGAACATAAATATCTTGCAATTCATAATTTAATAATAATGTTGCTCCCAGATCAATGTTCCTATCTGGATTTTTAAGATATTTTTGTTGATTTTAATCAAGATGTATTTGGTACGGATTATTGATTTAGGTATTGTATGTTTATTATTATGTTCATGAGAAAGCGAGCTAAAATCGACTCAATGAGGAAGCGAAAGTTGGTTGATATATTAATGCTAAACACGTTTACATACCATTTATATAGCCTAAATGCATCTTTACGTAAAATAATAACAAAAAAAAGTAGTACCCATCTCATTACCAAGACTGTTAAAGTTATAATTTACCGTAAGATGGGGGTAACTTTGGGACTAAGTGGGTAACTTTGGGACTAAGTGGGTAACTTTGGGACAGCAGGTAAAATTTAGTTTGTGGTGATTCCGTTGTGGATACGCTGTGTTGATTCAGTCTTCAAAAACGTGGTTAGTGTAGGCTTGTACTCCGCTGCTACCTAGCGGCAGTATGAGAAACCTACTGCAGTTAGGTTTTATTTATTTACATTGCTTTTTCCAAAATCCTTGTTTTCATTAAATTTTCGCTTGTGTAGTATGTACCGCAATATACAAGAATACTGTACCGCAAGATATTAGCGCAGTACATGCGTACTCAAAGCACGTTTTTGTAAACTGGACCAACACAGTGTATCTAACACAGAATTACCAAAAATTAAATTTTACCAGCTGTACGAAAGTTACCCACCCAGTCCTGAAATTACCACATATTACGGTACTTGATAAGTGATAAATTGGTTCCTTTGGAACATATCCATTTTAATAGTTAAGCTACAGGGCATAGCTATCTCTTTTTATTACTTATATTATTCCATTATTTTACTAGTTTGTTTGGTGCTGAAGAGCCATGGTTTAAAGTCCACTAGCTCATTAAAAGTATTAAATTTTGTTACTAAGAACATAACTGGTTATTTTGATTTATTAAAAATATAAAACAGATTCTTTCTAGTTCCTATCCGAAATACCTAAGGGATCATAGAGCTCCTTCATTTATTTATTTTTTTATTGTATTTTCGTCCTTCGAATACTGATATAAATAGCAACATTTTATGACCTTCTTTTCTCTTATTTATTTAATCAGTAATATAACGAGAATTACAATTAATAAAAATTACAATAAATAATAATTAACAAGTAATTTTAAAACCTAAAAATTTGATAAGTATTCCATCACAACCATATTATTTAAGAGACTTTAGGTTTTTAAAACAGAACCTTTGGTTTATACCAATTGTTCAACAGATATTCGAAAAAAGGCGAAATTCGTTAAATTGCTATTGCTTTATGATTTACTAGAGGTATTTTTGATGAATATATAACAACAAAAAATATCACACCATACAATACATTTCATAGAAAAAATACAGCACATAAAATAAAGATTTATGTATGTATATAAATAGGAGGAAGTATATCAATTAGAAAAGTGAGCTTCATTAACATTGGAATGAATTTTGGAAATCTAGAAACATTGATGAGGAAAAAGAAACTAAAATTCTTCGGGCACATGAAGAGAATGGATTGGTATAGGTTGAATAATCCATCTTACCTAGTAAATAATATAATAGAAGAAGTTCATCGCTCAACAAATAACAAATTTAAAGTTCAATGGGTTCCAGGTCACGTGGGTTTGTATGGGAATGAACAAGCTGATATGAAAGCAAAACGAGGTTCTGGAAGGACGGGAAATGTGAGTCCGCCTTTACAGGAAATTTGTAGATGGGAGAAAAAACACTTTATTAGTGAACGGCTGGATAGATACGCCTGGGAGTCAAGTTCGAAAGGTAAAGATCATTTCCTTATCCAACCTAACGTCTCTCTACGCCCACGATTCTCTAACACTTGTGTTAAGTTAAGAAGAAAAGAAATAGTCTTACTTATAAGATTAAGAATTAACCATGGCCAAACAAATCGCGGCATGACATTAATTAAAGTTAAAAAAATATGTAAATGTTCCACATGTAACTCCATCGATTACCCATTGCACATTATTTTAAAATGCAAGAGATATGATAAATAAAGGAAGAAATATTCCCTCATCCAAAACAATTGCACTTTCTTCCAAGGGCTGGCTGATCTAGATGTGGATACCATTATGGTATTGTGCAAATTTATTGAAGAATCCAAAACAGATATTTAAAAATAAATAAATAAATAATAATTATGTACATCTATATCTCCATTGTATTTTAATATAAAAATAGTTGCAGTATAGAACTTCAGTGGGAGTCTTGGGCCGACTATAAAAAAAAGAAAAGAAAAGTTAATAATCAATGAATTAATAGAACTGAAGAACATAAAAGGATATCCGGAAAAAGTAAAAAAATAAACAGAAAAAATGGGCTTCAAAGAGGAAGACTATCAAGACAGAGAAAAATTTAGGAAAATAATGAAAAAAATAAAGATTCTTGTAATGGATAACAAGAAGAAAGAAGGTAAGAAACGGATATAGGAAAAAATGAGAGGGGTGGGAGTAAGAATAAAAAGACCATAGGCAAAATGGTCTAGGAATGGTATAAGATTGATCCTTAGTTGGGCTATACTGCGATGAATAAATACACTTTTTGATCGGCTAAGACTCTGGTTAGAATTATTGATGCAGTCTTGCTGTTTTTAATTACCTTAACTATGTCATGCATCAGACTGTATCTGAACATCCAGTCTAGCTTGATTTGCTCGTTCTCCAGAATGTCCTGGAGAGAGCCTTTGGGACAATACTCCGTGAGCAAGCAGCAGTTCGGGGGGTCTATACAGGCCCCGTAGAATCTGACCAAGTGGTCGTGGTGGAGATCCTTCATCTGAAACAATAACAAAACAAAAATCAATACATTTTTAAAATAACCATACAACGTATGGTCATATTAATACATACCAAGCTATTATAAAACATATCAAGTAACACTATCAAGTAATGCTGACCACATAACCTTTTAACCCCAAGCTTAGAAAATATCCTTCCTTATTTAGAATTTTTAATTTAATAAGCCTTGAGAGATGTTTAATTTATTTTTTTAAATTAAAAAAGTTTAAATCACTTTGAGCCCTTTTTACAGGCTTTAAAATCAAGTTCTAAGCTTCAAAGTAAATTTTATAACATAAAAGAGATTTCAAGCCATCAAAAGTTTTGCTATCATATTTCCTTAAAGATCCCCTAGCACCTGTAAGAAAATTAAATATTCTTTGGAAAATAGACGAATAAACAAACATTGAAAGATCCATTACTTTATCCTGTTTAAATAGAAGGATTGCAAATTAGATCCGGAGGAGAGAGTTTTCCTTTTCGTTAGTTTATGTCTAAAATTGCTTACTCTATTAGCATGGCTTTCTCGAATTTTATTTAAATAAATCAGCGATTATTTATATTTAAAAAAAAAATAAAAAAAATGACTTACATATAATTTTAACTCACATATTCCCTAAGGCTAAAAACGAACACATATAAGATTAGGATTAAGCATTTATATAGGATCTGACAAGGATTATTTATACAAAAATAATTGTCTGTAGAAAAACAGAGGATGGTGCCTATAACAATTTTTAGTAAATCTGAATTATTTTTAATTACAGTTATTTAGAAATCACCTTTTAATTGAACTAGCATAATAGAGCACTTGTTTTCAACTTATCGTGTATTAAGTGTATGTGTTATGCGATTATGACCAAATCCTTAGTTAAATTATTTCATGTTTCTTCACGTCAGAAAGTATGTATAGAGTTGTATTTTACTTTTCTGATTCCGATTTAAAATAATTTTCGTTTAAACACCTCTTATCGTCAGAAAAATTGTTTTCCAATCATGGCCAAAAGCTATTTTTGAATTTCTTTAAGTTTTTTTATTTGGTGAGACGATTTTACTTTATTTATTGAATTTTGCTAAAATCACAATATTTTTTTATATGAATATTTTCTGTGCGTACTGTACAAAACAAATAATTGGTGTTTCTTATATAGTTTTTCTATTAGCGTATCAAAACAGTATAATATGATTAAATTATTTAAAAATGTTTGTACTCGGAAAAAAAAATTCAAATATAATATAAACGCATAAAATAATATAAATAACTAATAAAAATGAAATAAAATAAAGAGGACACAGTGAATAAAGGAGACACCTTTTATTTCCTTAGTAGTAAATCAGAAACGGAATGCTTTTATCTGCAATATGGCTTGTTGACATATACCCTATATTTTCCCATTCATCTCATAAATTAAGATCATAAATTTATCATGTTTTTTTTTTTGTTTTTTTTTACATTAGCATTTATTAAAAGCACAACTCATATCAAATCAATTAAAAAGTTAATTCTCTCTAATGTTGTTACGTTTATTAATAAATAAAACGAAAATGTTCTAATGACTCAAATATCGGATCTAGAGTAAAAATAAAGTATAATTATTTGGATATAATAGTTCTTTTTATAATTAAAAACAAAATGAAGTCCTAACCAATACTGAAATATATATATATAAATTATTGAAAAAGCATATATATTAATAAATAAATTATTGAAAAAGCATATATATTAATAAATAAATTATTGAAAAAGTATATTTATTGATTTAATTTCTAATTTATATTTACTTACTCTCTTCAGTTCTAGAAGCAAGCCACGGTGTAAATCAATCCTATTTTTGTTAATAGTCTTGATGGCAACTTTGTTACCCTGAAACATCAAAAATATATATATCATTATCAATATAATAGTTTATTTCAATTATTATGATTCAAATCACACTTATTACATTATGATATAAGATATAATACGATCATAGATATCATTTTATTTTTACCAATGTTTTATAACTTTATTTTTACATGATTAAAATAAAATAAAAAAATAATAATATCGCAGGGTTCAAGGTGCTGAGGAGAGGTAGTATACCTTTAGCCATTGAATACTTAAAGACTGGCCCTACTCAAAATTATATATATATATACATATGTATAATCTCTGCGTTATACTAAAATATGGATCTCTATTAACACGATCTTTATGAAGGATTTGCCTAACTTCAAAATTTGAGAAGGAGTTACAGCTGTTTTTATAGCATAATTAGAAAAGTTTTTCTTATTAAAAATAATATTTGTTTCATAATTCTTTTCTTTATAATCTTTAGGAATAAGATTACCAACTATTACGATAGAACTGTCCTAATCAACCTGCTTGTTAATCTGGAGGTAAACTCTGGAGAACTCTCGCGCCAATAGCTTCACTTTGTTGAAAGGTGATCCTACAATTATCGATTCAAGTGAACAAACTTGGCTTAACTTAAACCGTGCCAAAACTTTGTCGAAACTTACCCAATCAAATAATTGAGATAAGGAACTCTTTAAATTTGTAAGTTTAAATCTACTCTGTATATTTAATTGCTATAATATATACTTCGTCTTTCGTAGTTTTATATATATATATATATATATATATATATATATATACATACACATATTCACTTTAGAAGTAATATTATCAGAAAATGAAGTAAATCAATATTATAAATTTGATAAAAAAAATTATTACTCAGAAATAATTTCTAATTAATAATGGTGATGAAACCAAAATGATGATCGGCATAAAATTTACAATTAATTATAAAACATATAATTATGTTTAATTGCTGGTTTATATTTATAAAGAAATATTATTAGATTATCTCAACATGCAGCATACCGAATAGTTTAACATTAAGAGTATTTACGAAACTGTTCGGGATGTTTAACATGACTATTTTTGGCCCTAACAAAAAAATTTAAAATTAAAAAAGCTTATCATAAATTGGCAAAAGAAATTTACTTTATACTTCACGTAAATTCAATGTAAAAATATATATATTTATATATTAAATAAAGCTCCATATTTAAATGAATCCAAACCTTTTTCTGTCATTTTGATATTACTTTTCAAAATGTGATAAGTTTTATATACATGTATAGTATGGAAGTAGTACAGATAGACCCGCAAAATTTAATTCCTTAGATTGTTGTAGATTGTGTTATTATTCTAATAAAAAAAATTGCTTTAATACGATTTGAGTGAACCGAAATATACCACCATAAATAAGTAATAAATGAGTATTTATTGTATTATTTATCAGTGCGATATAAGAAATGCATACAAATAAATATATACATAAGATAACATGATTTCCATCCCATGAATCTATAAATATCTGCCTCTCCCTGGCTAGGAACTAGGAGGCATTGCTAAAATTACATGCCCTCAACTGCAACTGGGTTGAGTTGCCTCCCACGCTAATCGTACATATCTCAGGCTACAGCTTAATTATCGACAACTAAACCTCAAACCCCTTCATCGGGTAAGTCAAATCAGGTTTAATCCATATTTGAATAAGTAACAATTAAAGAGATCGAATAGAGATAAATTAATAGTAAATAGATAATAGAGAAAATAGTAAAAATAAAACTTTTAATTATTATTCTCAGACTAAGTATAGTATATTCAATTATATATATATATATATATATATATATATATATATATATATATATATATATATATATATATAACATCAGGGTGAGTAGGGATTTCCATTTGTTTAAATTTAATTGGATAGTAAAAAACAAACAATATTTCATACAGGTATCAATATTTCGGTTATCGAAATCATATTATAACAAATGTTCAAAAATATCGCCTTATTGAAATATCTTCTTATCTTAATGGAGCCGAAAATGTTTTGAAGTTAATGGTGTTATTTGTGCCTGCAATACTGTTATAATGAAAAGAGTCTTTAAATTATTTTCTTTTCCCTATGCAGTCAAATCACTGCACTACTTGCTGACGAAATTTTAATCTTGAAGACCTTATAATTTTTTAGATCTATCAACACACATAGATGGAAATGTAAAAAAAAAGAGACTCTATATTATTTCAGTTTTTATTTTGTATTGATATTTACAAAATTACTATATTTACAGGTCCCAAAACATGTTTTCAGTCGAACAGTAAATTCAAAACGGCCGCCAAGAAAAATACTGTAAGCTTTAAATTTTTCTTAACTATGGTTTTGAACATTCAAATAAATATGAAATAATTGGTAAAAAAAAATATAAAAATCATAACTGACAAGCAACATGATTAATCAGACATTCTATGATTCTTAATAGTTTTTCTATCATTAGACTGGGCATATCTTAAAATATGCAAAGTTTATATTGCATTATAATTTTCTATAATGCGTCATTTCTGAAATGATGTTAAAAATATAATGGATTTACTTCATTTTTTATCTCACATTTATATTTTTAATAGTTTCAAATTTCAAATTCAAAATCACTTAAAAAAAATTCTCTGTAGACAGAATAAATTCAAATAAACAACCAATGTGAACTAAATATGTTTCAGTTTCTTCTTATTTGTATCTTGTTAAATGTCACGTAAATTATTTAAGGGCTTATTTAGTATTATAAAAACTATAAATAAATTTCTAATTGTAATAGATATGTGTATATGACACATTTTTATGCGTCCCAGTCACTAGCGGATCCAGGATTTAATTTTGGGGGGGGGCTTCAGCCCGAAACCTTATTTTTTTCCATAAAAATAACAATAATTACTTTGGAAAAACAGAAAGAAACTAACTACCTATATGAAATGGTGTTTAAGTTATTCCTTAAGTACTTTTAAATGTAATTACGCGAACAATAATACTTTAAGAGGTATTTTTTATTTTTTTTCCCCATAAAACATGGTTATATTTTTCCATTTTGGGGAGGGGACTTCAGCCCGAAAGCCCCCCCGTAGATCCGCCCGTGGTCCCAGTTATGTACAAGAATCCCAAGCTAGTCGTTTGTTGTAGTGAAGACCATGATAATGTTATCTTCAAACAGAATAATGAGGAATACAAAAGGAAAATGTAACTGTAGATTAAGTAAAAAAGGGATTATGTGATGTATTTTAATGATTCAGTTCTACACGATTCTTCATAGGTGTTTGAAAAGTTTATGATTCTATAAATGGGTAGGCATACGTAATGAAGAAAATATGTATTGATTGGAATCCAAGATTTTTTTTTTTAAACTTTTATTATGATATTTACAACTGTATTAGTATGAATACATCAAGCAAATGTGTACAGAGGAATAAAATAACAGGAAACACGCTTGTTGAGAAACTACCCATTGGTAGCACTCTAATAATTTGTCTACATGAGGAGATCACGAGGCCATCTTCTTTTCAGACGCCTCGGAGGGTTATCAGGAATCGAAGAGGAAGCAAGGTTAGAAACAAGAGGATTCGGATGGTTATGAAGTTTATTATGGAAGGATAGGTATCTGGATTTGGCCAAATCGGAAACATATGCAACATTGAGGTCTTTATGGGTTATTTTATTTGTGACAAAGTAAGGAGCATTGAGGATTTTACGAAGGATTTTGGTTTGTAAAGATTGGATACGAGAGGAATTTGATGGTTTAGTGAAGCCCCACAGTTCAACTCCATAAGTCCAAATAGGTCTTATTATAGTCATGTATATGGGTCGTTTGTAATTAATAGGAAGTTTAGAGCGTTTGTCTGGTAAGTGTTGAAGTAAGCGGAAACGTCGTGCAGTTTCTTGTCGTTTCAGTCTTGTATGAGGATTCCAAGTGAGACGTTTGTCCAAGGTATCGGATTTGTTCTACAGGGATAAGTGGGGTGTTATGAAAGGATACTATAGGACAGCAAGTCATTGGTTTACGACGAAGGGTAAAGGTGATTTGATGGGATTTATTGGAATTTATTTTAATCCTCCAGTTTTGACACCATTCTTCAAGGTTTGTGATGTGTGATTGAAGAGTTTGGGATGCAATTGTTGGATCATTATTAACTGACAGGATACATGTGTCATCAGCATACGTAGTGATGACAGTGTTAGGATGGGTTGGGATATCAGCTGTATAAACTGTGTAAAGGATAGGACCAAGGATACTACCTTGAGGAACACCGGCAGATTGAGAAAACAGGGATTAGTAGGTATTATTGTGATTTACTTTGAAGTGTCTATAAGTAAGATAGGAACTGGAATCCAAGGTTAAAAAGTAATAACCATGGTATTTCAATTGTGAAGATATTGTGAACTTATAGAACTATAATAAAAAATAAAGTTATAAATAATAATTATAAAATTATAGAAGTAGCTAGAAATATTTTAAAAATAAATTTATTAAAGTACAGAAATTTAATTTAATTATCGAAATAGGAAAATTAAATGAACGCCAACTAGACTTTGATTTTCATAAATGACACATTTCCTTAAAAAAAAAAAAAAAAAAAAAAAAAAAAAAAAAAAAAAAAAAAAAAAAAAAAAAAAGAGAGGAATAAAGTAATTAAATAAATGGGGGAAAAAACCATATATATAAATGGAAGTCTCATTCATTTAATTGTAGAAGAGAGAAGTAAACCTTTTAGGCTAATGTAGATCCAACCAAAACCGATCATCAGCTGTGGATGGCTACGAATCTAAAAGAGCAATCTACATTTCATTTCTACTAATGAATTATTTCACACCCCATCTAGATTTTTTTAAGATCGCAAAAATTTGTTTTCTCTCGTTAATGGCGTTTCAACTCATTGCCGAGTATAGGCGTCCCGCAACAAACTCATCTATTTGTCAAGAACTCGCACACCCAGCATAAAATCGTTGATTCCCAGGATACTTGGCCATCATC